TAATCTGCGATATTTAACAGCGTGAATCAGTTGACACCCTTCCATGCCATGACAAAAAGCTATCAAGGACTCTTATTGTCTTTCTCTGTCTCCTTGTCCTTGTATGCTTTCAGGGCGCACATGTTTCATTTTCATTCTTCTCATAATATGACGGGAAACACTGACGACTGTCTCTTTCTGATGTTTGTGTTAAGTCTTCTTAGAGACACTCTTTCATTACATGACAAAAAGCTGTCAAGAAACGTCTCACGCTGTCTTCCTATGTCTTTCTTTACTCAGATCTTTCCAGTGGTCACAACACGTTCCAGTTTCCCTCTTCTCATTATATGATGAAAAAATGACAGCCTCTTTCTGAAGTTTGTGATAAATTGTGTCAAGTCTTTTTCAAAATATATGAGTTGCTATTTTTGGCTATTCATGGAATTCTAAGTATTCTGTAAGACCAGATTTCTAGTGAAACTGTTTGACTTGTCTTTTGACTGTCCAGGATTCTTAGTCATGTTAAAACTGGTTATATAAAGCATGCAAGAATTCTCATCTTTTTTCTGACCTGCAATTACGTGGAGTTATTACATAAAGTGTTCTTCTGTAAATGAAATGCAGTTCTTGCCTGTCCTTTTCAGTGATACATCTTTCATCTGATTCCGTCCATATATATAGATACTAAAATTACTGTAATTGTCGTAACGTAACGCCTTATGTATGTTTTACATATGTTGACCTTTTAGCAATATTGCTTTCTGTGATACATCCATTACTTCTGTGTTCCCATTATTCAAGCTGAGGCCCGATATGTAACACGAGACAGACGCATTAAAGAGTGTAAGTCGACGCTTTCCTACCTGGAATTATTGGCATCGAATTCGCAGTGAGGACGACTGTAAGATTCGACTGTAGACCTTGGCTCACATGTAGACCTAGCCTAACCTGGGTACCTAGAAAATTTCAGGGAAGTAAAGAGGTCGGCGTGATATTGTCATTCCCCATGAGCCAACATCATGGAAAGGTTAAACGAGGGAGATTAAATGGAAGAAAGAGGGATGGAAGAGCTTCTTTGGTAATACGAAGGAGCTTTGATGAAGGTAAGAGCTTGCATGCCTACACTAGGGTGCTTTGATAAAAGGAACAGCTTTCATGGTTACACGAGGGAAGGAGGAGCTTCCAAGGTTACACGAGAAAAGGAAAAGCTTCCAGGGTTACACGGGAAAAGGAAAAGTTTCCAAGTTGACACGGGGAAAGGAAAAGCTTCCAAGATTAGACGAGGAATCTATCATTGAAGGAAGAGTTTTCATGGATACACGATGGAAAGAAGAGCTTCTATAGATACACGATGGAAGGAAGAGCTTCCAAGGTTATACAAAGGACGGAAAAGCTTCCAAGGGGACATGAGAAAAGGAAGAGCTTTCAGGGTTACACGAGGAAAGAAAGAGCTTCCAGGGTTACACGAGGGAAAGAAGAGCTTCCGAGGTTACACAACTGAAGGAAGAGCTTCCAAGGTTACACAAAGGAAGGAAAAGCTTCCAAGGTGACACGGGAAAAGAAAGAGATTCCGGGGTTACACGAGGGAAAGAAGAGCTTCCAAGGTTACACGACTGAAGGAAGAGCTTCCAGGGTTACACGAGGAAAGAAAGAGCTTCCATGGTTACACGAGGGAAAGAAGAGCTTCTAAGGTTACACGACTGAAGGAAGAGCTTACAAGTTTACACAAAAGAAAGAAAAGATTCCATGGTGACACGAGAAAAGAAAGAGTTTCTAGGGTTACACGAGGGAAAGAAGAGCTTCCAGGGTTACACGAGGAAAGAAAGAACTTTCAAGGTTACACGAGGAAAGGAAGAGCTTTCTATGTTACACGAGGAAAGGAAAAGCTTCCAGGGTTACACCAGAAAAGGAAAAGCATCCAGGGTTACACTATGAAAGGAAGAGCTTCCAAGGTTACAGAGGAAAGAAAAAGCTTCTAAGGTTACGCGAGAAAAGGAAGAAGTTCCATGGTTACACGCGGAAGCTTTGATCGAAGGTAGAGCTTCCATGGCTACAATTTTGGCCCAGAGGCTAAGGTTTTCCACCTTGCGTTATACTTAAGTCTAGCAGTCCATTCTATCGTATGCAATATTTTCCAAACTATAATGGGATTAAGCAGAGCCCATTTTGATGTCTCTCATCACAGTTGATCTTGGAGTTTCTATGGGACATCCTTGTTTCATTGGGTGATTATTTAACAAATGTTGGTGTTTTTGTAATGATTCTCTGTCAGCTTTTCCTTATATGCCACGTATATTGCCATCTTCTTGGTCATGACATACCAAAGGTTATTTCTTTTGTAAGCTAATCAACCTGTTACTCTCTCTATCTCAAGCTCTCTGCTTCTGTCTCTTTTTATTTCTTTATCTCTCTATCTCTCTCTTTCTCTCTCTCTCTCTCTCTCTCTCTCTCTCTCTCTCTCTCTCTCTCTCTCTCTCTCTCTCTCTCTCTCTGTCCTAATCATGTGTTGATGTTGATACAGCGTGTGAGGCGGGTACATTTGGACCAGCCTGCAAACTCAGGTGTTCTGAACAATGCGCCAACACTTGCAATAACTCCATAGGGACATGTGTTTGTAAGGATCGATTTCAGGGAAGTCTCTGCACAGGTTCGTTTGTATATATGTATATATATATATATATATATATATATATATATATATATATGTGTGTGTGTGTGCGCGCGCGCGTCTGTGTGTTTACATGTATGTCTGGTGTGTGTGTGTGTGTTTGTGTGTGTATGTGTGCTTTCTCAGTGTGTGCATTGTTTGAACATATGTACTTTCTCAATGTTTGCTTTTTTTTAAATATATGTACTGTCTCAACGAGTGGTTTGTTTTAAATGTTTAATATATGTACTTTCTCAGTGTGTTCAAATGTGTAAACTGGCAGTCTGGCAACAGAAGGTGGACTGAAAAACAGGTTGATCATCCCTCATCTGTATAATCCTCTGATTTTGAGAAACAATAATGAAATATGCCATCTGGGTCCTCCGAAATGGGGGGAGCATAAAGGACCCAATCTAATAGATATTAACGTTGTTGACCCCGCCTGCCTCCAGACCATAATTGTTGTCAACGACCGGACTGGCAATGTTCTTCATAGGGGAGCATGGTCTGAGAATGCATGCCGGAAGGATGAAATGCGAAAGTGCGCCACGTAGTAAGCGCAGGCGCAAAGCTAATTCGGCGAGCTACTTTTTCTTAAGTTTACCATAAATAACCTCACAGAAAATACCATCCAGCTTGCACCATGACACCCTATCGTTTGCGGGTGGAAACGTGATCTTTGTCCGCACTTCGTCAGAGACCCGCAAATTTGCGCCTCTTTGGTAGACGTCTTAACTCTCTCTCTCTCTCTCTTCTCTCTCTCTCTCTCGTTCTCTCTCTCTCTCGTTCTCTCTCTCTTTCTCTCTGTCTTGTTCTCTCTCTCTCTCGTTCTCTCTCTCTCTCTCTCTTCTCTCTCTCTCTCGTTTTCTCTCTCTCGTTCTCTCTCTCGTTCTCTCTCTATCTCTCTCTCCTTCTCTCTCTCTCTCTCTCTCGTTCTCTCTCTCTCTCTCTCTCTCTCTCTCTCTCTCTCTCTCTCTCTCTCTCTCTCTCTCTCTCTAGGCGACTGGAAATCAAGCTGCCTGTCGTCAGGGAACGACTGCCTGTCGTCAGGTGGACTGAGCTCCAGGTTGGGATAGCGATGGGATGTACATTTCTCTGATACTGTTTGTTGTGGTCATACAAGTCATGCTAGACGAGGCTGCCGGCTGCGGTCAGGGTCTTCAAATTGGGCACCACTGGATGCTAACACTGCGAGCATTTATGGATGACACAACTATTATAAAAGGCCGTGAAGAGGACGCGCACCTTATTCAAAGAGGCTGGACTGTGAAATAGATCCGAACTGTTTTAGATGAACCGGTGAAGAGTTTCGGTCGCGTTTACGATTCGAAGTTATCTGCTAGAGTTTAACTCCGCCCTATACATGCGTCACTGGCCACAGGCCTGTTTGCTATTGAGCAGTGCAGGCTGATCGGGAAGTTCAAGGTTTGGTGTCTCCAATTCATGTTGATTCCAAGGCTTCTCTGGCTGCTGCTAGTGTACTAAATTTAGCACGAGCGCAGTGGAGGTAATAGAACGGAAAATCAACTCTGCCGCGAGGAAATGGCTCGGAACGCCGCCTTGTCTGACCGACGTGGCTCTTTTTTTTTTTTTGTAATGGTAGGCTCGTGCTTCCGTTTGATTCAATAATCGAAGAGTTCGTGAGAAATACCCTGAATCAATCTGAAAGACCGGCCTGTGACCGGACATAGTTTTGGAAAATCACTTGTACCAGCTCAAAAAGTACAGTGAAATAGTGGTCAGTCTGAGGAGCGGTGGGGCGTATACAGTAAAACTCTTCACCGTCAGGGTAGGCGCAAAAACATCTTTGGGGCGGGGCGGGTGCGGGGTGTGGGATGGTGTTAGAAAGATGAAGTCAAGCAGTTAATAATATCAATGTTCTTTATGACAAATTCAGGTGTGTATGATGAAATATGAAATATACACACATCTACTTATTTTGTTTGTGTACATGTGTATTGGTGGGTAGGGTCAGAGGAAGCTGGTGAGAAAAGGAGTGGGGGACGATAGCTACAGCAGTGATGCAAATGAATAATCTTTAGATTTTGAATTAGGATAACACACACATATATACACACAAATATATACACACACATACACACGCAGAGATAGAGAGAGAGAGAGAGAGAGAGAGAGAGAGAGAGAGAGAGAGAGAGAGAGAGAGAGAGTTAAGACTGTTTCCTGTTTTCCCAGAATGCGTACACGGATTGTTTGGAGACAAATGCGCACTGAAATGCTCCCCCTGGTGTTTAGACAATCATTGTGACATGTGGACTGGGGAATGTATCGCATGTATCCACGGACGTATGGGGCTCTTTTGTGCAGGTAGGATGATCTCAAACCGACAGGTGTCGGTGCTGTATTGTCTTGTACTAATAATGGTAAAGTCAGACGTGCGATAAATACATCGCGGCGTTGGGTGAGACTGTGTTTATACAACTTGTCTATGAAGACTAAAAAAAAAATTGTTAAAGTGCTCTGTTGAACTTATCTTGTAATGTGAGGTATTGGATAATAAGCAGAGCATGAAAAACATTTACTGGCTGCGGTGCAGAAGAATGTAAAGAATGTCATAGAGGTAGTAAAAACACGAAGCAGTCCTCACCAAGATAGATTAAAGTTGTACATTTATTAGAAAAATTACACGTGAACAGTCAGTGGTTTGGGGGCATGTGATAAGAAAAAGGGGATTCGTGAGTTTGATAACAACTGGCAAGACTGGTGGTAAGAGAGCAAGGAGAAAGCACAGACAAATACCTGGATTTCTTGGCCAGATAAATGGTGGTGAAACAAAAACAATGACCCGATCAATGATTCTGGTCATCGTGTGAGATAGCAATGCATGTTAATTAGTTCGATAGCGTATTCCACAAACAATACAAATTTGTAATAATCTAACCAAAGAAATACTAATGCTGGAGGTCACCACAGGAGAGTGACACGCATGCAATTTCATGTTTTGACAAGATCCCGTTACTTAATTTATTGTAAGTATGCCGACTCTTTGCTTAGAATCAGTATCTGTTTGTTTTTTTTTTTTTTAACTACCGCAGATAATGCAAAAAGATTTTTGTTTACATTTTTTTTAAACAATTCTTACAAAGGCACAATTAGGAAGAGGTTGCAGGCACAATTTTAGAAACCTACATCAAACCGTTATTGATGCTAGAGATTTTTAAAGTTTTGTACGTCTTCTGGAACTGACTATGGTCACGCGTTTTATCGCCATGGGCTGTAATTTCTGTGCCTCCTCATAGCACGGTATAACATTATTGTCTTGAAAGACCGAAAGCTGCCTGAAAACAGATTTCCTGTTCTTAAGATGCCCTAATAGATTCTACTGACAAATGTTTCAATTACGTGTTACCTGTTTGTTCTACTGTTGGGACATAACGCTGACAGATTCATTATAACTGGTTCCTAGAATGTCCCTCCAGAATAAACTGCCCTGACAACCGTTCACTGATTGTCATTCTGAAAGATTCTTCATGACTGATTAAATGACATACAAGCAGCTCAATGATGTTTACTTGACTTGTTCCCAGAATGCCTGGAAGGATACTACGGAGTCAGGTGTAACATCACGTGTCCCGACAAGTGTAAAATAGGAGGCTGCAACATTGAGACTGGACTGTGTCATTCTTGTGTGGAGGGTTATTACGGCGCTTCTTGCACGATAGGTAAGTGCTGTTTCAGTTTGGTATACTGTCCACGACGAAATGTCTTAACAATTACCTATCATTACCCAAACTCCTAACATTTACTAAACTACTCTCATTTACAATCCTAGGGGAAGGAAATAATTTCCTTATCCTCGTGTGTTGTTATATGTCACATGGGGCTTCTTAGTTCTGTTCTTTCCTGTGTAATCATTTCAATATCATGGGTGGAATCCAGTTCAGAATCTTTGTTCCCTTTCATTAACGTTTGTCTCAGGGTTTCTCTTGAACGCCACCGCTTCCTTACTCCGTCCCTCCGCGTCTGCTGGTTTTTTCTTAGGATATGTCCAATGTAGTGCCATCTTCTCTGTCCTATAAATGTTGTTAGTAGTGATTGCCCAAACATTTGTCTTATTTCTTCACTCCTTTTGAGTTCATCCCATTTTATTGTTATCATTTTCCTCAAACATTTGTTATTAAATGCTTGTAACTTTCCTTCATTGTCTTTAGTGTTTCTCCAACATTCACTGACATACGTTAAAACTGAAACAACCATTTATTTGAAAATACATAACTTAGTTTTAAAATTATAGGATACAGAAATGCAGCCTGGAAATTGCAGTTCAGAAAAGGCCTTGGTTGCCAGCTTGTCAAGGACGAAAGCTCCGAAAGACTGAATGGTACAGCTAAGAAATCCCAGGTGATCTAGTCAACACTATACTCAGAGGAAAGACAAGACGCGCGTATAATCAAACTGATACTAGCATCATCAGAATTATAACTCTTCGTTGGCTGCAGAAGATGAGGACATGGTGCCTGTGGGATCGTCCTGGGTCCTATATTGTCCGTTCTTAGCTAAACACTTAATAATTCTTCTCTAGCATTCCGAGTTTTTAATGTTTATTGCTACACATAACCGCCTCTGGTTATCTCTCTGGCTGGTCCTCTCTTTCCAGTGGATGACTCCATGTGTCTGTAGCATTCCGAGTTTTTAATGTTTATTGCTACACAAAACCGCCTCTGGTTATCTCTCTGGCTGGTCCTCTCTTTCCAGTGGATGACTCCATGTGTCTGTAGCATTCCGAGTTTTTAATGTTTATTGCTACACATAACCGCCTCTGGTTATCTCTCTGGCTGTCCTCTCTTTCCAGTGGATGACTCCATGTGTCTGTAGCATTCCGAGTTTTTAATGTTTATTGCTACACAAAACCGCCTCTGGTTATCTCTCTGGCTGGTCCTCTCTTTCCAGTGGATGACTCCATGTGTCTGTAGCATTCCGAGTTTTTAATGTTTATTGCTACACATAACCGCCTCTGGTTATCTCTCTGGATGGTCCTCTCTTTCCAGTGGATGACTCCATGTGTCTGTAGCGTTCCGAGTTTTTAATGTTTATTGCTACACATAACCGCCTCTGGTTATCTCTCTGGCTGGTCCTCTCTTTCCAGCGGATGACTCCATGTGTCTGTAGGTCTGCCTAGATATTACTCTCCGCTAACTGCTTGGTCTGCCTCATGGTCTAAGGGCAATCAACTCCCTTGTGTACACAGTTGTTGCATCTCTATCATTCGACTTTTTCTCAATATATCCCAGCCATTTCGGTCTATTTTTTAGCCCTCATGCGGTGTTTTAAATAGAATATGAATTTCATTATGCTTCTCACTCTCCATTGGCCCGAATTTGTTGTATCTTTGCTGGGTCCAAAGATTTTTCAAACATTTTTAATAAGGCTTCATCTCTTGTAGTTGAGCTCCATGTTTCAGAGCCATGAAAACTATTGGTTTTATCGGCTTTTTATTATCTGATCCCGGTGTTACGTGATAGAGCCAATGACTTTAGCAAATGTTGGCGTTGCGTACGCGCTTCGTAATGCCGGGGTACTGGTTTCGATCCCAGCTGCGGACGATTTGTCTTGCGTTGGTTACGACAGTGTTACCGAGAGCGGACCGTTATGAAAGCAATGGCAAATCGCTGTAGGTAAAATTTGCCAAGAAAAACCACAAGAGACAAAAAGGCTATTCTAGGTTCTGCAACCGTGTAAAGGGCAGGCGACCAACTTGTAGGGCAAAGTAAACATTATTTCCAGATTGCCGTTTTTTGTTTTTTAATTTCGACATATTCTGAGAAAGTTGTGGGTAACCAAACCTTACTCATAAACGATGGTTTCTCTCTCTCTCTCTCTCTCTCTCTCTCTCTCTCTCTCTCTCTCTCTCTCTCTCTCTCTCTCTCTCTCTCTCTCTCTCTCTCTCTCCTTCTCTCTCTCTCTCTCGCTCTCTCTCTCTCTTTATCTGTCTATCATTTTCTCTTTATGTGTGTGTTTGTATGTGTGAGTTCTCTGTGTGAGTTCTGTGTGTGTGTAGAGAGAGGGGGTGTATCTGTGTGTGCATGCGTGCATGTATGTATGTACTGGGTCATACTTTAAGGGACACATTGTAACCCACCTGTCCTCTGTCCCACAGCCGAGAGAGCCCAGCAAATGCATCCAGCCTTTCTCTTGACACTGGCCTTCCCCTGTCTTCTGATGATCGTCTGGTGGATGGTGGGTCAGGGCAGACGAGACACCATAATGATGGAGAGCGAGTAGCCAGTCATTCACTAATGGCGAGCTACTGCAAACTTAAACTTGCTGATTTAAAACAAGCGGACATTTATTGGTTGTCTCTGATTTTACTATATGGTTTCACTTTCTGTAGCTACATGTTTGATATATATATATATATATATATATATATATATATATATATATATATATATAAAGACATGCTTTAAATGGAAACCTTTAAACTGCGATATAAAATATAATAACAATGCCATTGTCTCGTAATGTGTCATTATAATTGTTAAGGTTGTCAAGAGTGTTACGCTTGTGACATCAGGGTGCAGACAAACACGGTGACGTCATAATGATGGTTTTAAAATGCTCCCGCCTTTTACCTTTGACATGCATCAAAGAGGGATAGCTTTTTTTTTTCTCTAACCACTGAAGGGGTGATAGCACAGAATTTCATCGGGCAACAAAAGTCACGTATGGCGATATCTATCAGATAAGCAAGTCTATGAGTGGAGTAGGCAGTTTTAAAACGTTTGTGACTTCAATGTCAAGAGTGTTCATGACTGGGTCACGCTCAGCGAGTGGTGACCTCATATTCGATTGCAATAGTAGGACGCCTCGTACATAAAATCGCCGTTTGACCATATGTGTTATTGCACATCTTTACACCAATCAAGGCCCAACACAGCATTTCACTGATGATGAACTTCAGTCAGTACAGCAGAGTGTCGGCAAGGTTGGTATCAGGGCAGCTTACTCCAGAAATGAAATAACGATGTACTGGTGCCTGCCAAGTCGTTATTGCGGTGTTTTGAATGACGGTGATTGTTTCTTGTAAAAAAAAATTGTTATTGGAGATGAAACTAGTCTCATTATGTCGAGCTGGAAATTAGGTGAGCGAGACTAGCGCAACCCCCCCCCCCCCCCTCTCTCTCTCTCTCTCTCTATCTATCTATCTATCTATCTATCTATCTATCTATCTATCTATCTATCTATCTATCTATCTATCTATCTATCTCTACGAAGACCTTTATTCTGAACCCGTGCATAATCTCGTGAGTTCAGCATCTTATTTCATGGGCATGTGACAAGGGCTAAACAATGTATAAAAACAACACTTGCTTATTTTCCCACGTAAAGGGTGGAGGTCAGCAATGGTTTCCGAACCTTTGTTGAACGTGGACACGGTGAAAATTGAATTGAATTGAACTTTCCCACCACGCTTAGGCTTTGTTTCTTACCGTTGAGAAACCTGGTCAGCAGGATTCAAAATCTGTAGTAAAGACCACAAAGAGGAGTGATTCAGTTTCCTTACGTTGAAAAATGTCAACCTTTGGAAACTTATCAAATATACAGACAGCCCGCGGGGACTTGTGTGTTTCGAAGATAATAAGTCAAGACTGAGCACGAATGTTCTAGAAAGGCGTAAGTTAAAAATAGATCTTCCATGCTCGGGTCAGGCACACAGTGTTGCAACAGGAAGAAACAACTATCACAGTAACTGATGCAAGAATACAGGTGAACCATTGTCGAAGCAAACTTTCGCAAGTGAAAGAATTCCGTGTGTCAATTTTGGACGGTTCAAAAGGTTCTACGTAACAAACTGCAATATCTTGAAGTGAGTTCACAGTAGGTACCATATAGGTTGACCGACCAACCAAAGAAAACAGCGCAGAGTATGATGTTTGAACTCCATGCTGCATAACAGAGTGGAGGGTGATGCATTTTTCTTTCATATGGTGGCAGTTAATGAAGTATGTTATCACTACTTTGCGTCGAACCAGCACAAGAGAACGGATTCAATAGAAATAGACTAAATCATCAAAGCTTGAAGATTCAATTACAGGGTTCCGATGGTAAGGCTATGCTAAAGGCGTTTTTGAATGTTATCACACAGGGTTATTTCTGGCAGACTTTAAAGAACTTGATGTCAGTATCAAGTCCTTTCCAAAAAGTTCGTCTCGTGTAGCGAGCATCCTTTGGATATTATTTCCAGATCATGCCAGTGTGTTGGGAAATGAGCAGGCAGATAGACTAGCCCGTTCTGCACCGCTTGGTGGTGAATTGAAGAATGACAAGCTGGAAGTTGTGGGGACCTTTGCGGGCGATGGAACAATGCAGAGGCACAGATAGATCATTATGGTCTGGGGAGAATGACACTGCGAGGCGTTACCAGTGGATCAGACCGACTCAGGGGAAAGACAGATATATAATCAGATAGTTACTAGTGCCATCGGAATTGGAACTCCTCGCTTGCTGCTGAAGATGGGGATGAAGCGCTTAGAGGGTTCCCGAGTGCTGTGATGTCAATTCAATATTCAACATTCTAAAAAAGTTCCTAATCAGTCTGGCACTGTTGTTTTCGACACACATATTTATTACTGCACGCTGCCTGCATTTTTTGATGAATGTCAACTGGGTGTTATTCTTCAAGGGAAACAAACTCAATCGCCGTTCTTGGAACTTCTTTGGATGGATTTTTGATTCCTATTCCTTTTAGGAAAAAAAAAAATAAAGGTCGACCACTTTCAGACTGCTGCTAGCTAGCCGAGGCTGCTCACAGTCTCCGCCTATATTTGTGGTCAGGGTTATTTGCGTCACTTTCGTGACTAAATTCTAGTATTTGCGCCGTTTCTGGGCTTAATGCTTCCTTCCGATTCAGACCGTTCGCCCTCTACCCTGCTCTTAGTTGTGCATGTCTTGGATGTTTGATGAATGGGGTCATTGTACTCTGACTGACTGACTTTCTACCCCACCAGGACATCACACAAGCGACAAACACCCGATGACACAAAGTGCCACCATGCGGATGAGGATCACCATGGAGAGGTCCCAGAAACCGCGTTCAGACAATTGGCCATATCGATGGCCTGCCTATATTGCGGCCCCTGGCAAAAGCCAGAGTGGGGCTTCAAATGACAAAAAATTACGTCCCGAGAAGGACGTAAGAAATATGCAAAAAAAACTAATAATAAATATGATTCAGTCATTGTAGTAACAGTAAGAGATCTAACATCGGTATCAAAGGACGATAAATCCGGCTCTTGTTTTCATTGGCCAGTGTTTATCAAGTGACTATGACATGTTTATGTTCGGTGTACGCAGTTATGCGCGGTGCGGAATGAACAGGTTTTATTTGAATGCTTCTTATATATACAACAACAGAAATCATAAAATTGTGGATCTGTTAACAAATCTAAACGTCATACTCTTTCTGTCAACCATGTTTCTTTTTTCCCCTTTTCTACGTCATGTAATTTTACTTCATCTGCCACATCCTGGTTTATCTTAGCCGCCAACTCCGCTTTTTTCCTTGTCAGTTTGTTATCTCCTTTACTTGCCTCTAGTGAGTGAGTGAGTGAGTGAGTGAGTGAGTGAGTGAGTGAGTGAGTGAGTGAGTGAGTGAGTGAGTGAGTGAGTGAGTGAGTGAGTGAGTGAGTGAGTGAGTGAGTGAGTGAGTGATGTGAGTGAGTGAGTGAGTGATGTGAGTGAGGTGAGTGAGTGAGTGAGTGAGTGAGTGAGTGAGTGAGTGAGTGAGTGAGTGAGTGAGTGAGTGAGTGAGTGAGTGAGTGAGTGAGTGAGTGAGTGAGTGAGTGAGTGAGTGAGTGAGTGAGTGAGTGAGTGAGTGAGTGAGTGAGTGAGTGAGTGAGTGAGTGAGTGAGTGAGTGAGTGAGTGAGTGAGTGAGTGAGTGAGTGAGTGAGTGAGTGAGTGAGTGAGTGAGTGAGTGAGTGAGTGAGTGAGTGAGTGAGTGAGTGAGTGAGTGAGAGTTCAACCCCACCCTAACTGCTCAACGAGCGATTTACACCCAGTGACACAAAGTGACACTATTCGGATAAGAATTCCGCAGGCGCAAGTCCCAGAAAGATCATTAAGCCGTCACACGACAACCAGACTTTAAAAAGAATGGAAACAACAGCTCATAATGTATGCATGCCTCTAGTTGCCTCCAATGTAACATATACAGTCCTAAGCGTAATCTATTTTACCACACAGTATATTATTATTATTATTATTATTATTATTATTATTATTATTATTATTATTATTATTATTTATATCTGAACATTACACAACACCTTATGTGTGAATGACAATTGTGTGGAAGGTTTGAATATAGGACGCACCTGCATTCCTAATTGGTGACTTTCAGAAAACTAAAGGTCATTGATTCCCTCCCTTTCTTAGTCTTAGTCTCAGTCTTAGTCTTAGTCTTAGTCTTAGTCTCAGTCTTAGTCTTAGTCTTAGTCTTAGTCTCAGTCTTAGTCTTAGTCTTAGTCTCAGTCTTAGTCTTAGTCTTAGTCTCAGTCTTAGTCTTAGTCTTAGTCTCAGTCTTAGTCTTAGTCTTAGCCAAGGTTTCAAGTTTGCTGCAATCAGTTTTCTCCATACTTGCTCCGTTCCTATACCAGTGAAAATCAAATGAAATGTCCCTCACTATCGTATTTGAATAACTGGTGAACAAACTAGTCCGGTAACAATCCAGAAATATGGGCATGCGGTTAATGAATACAGCAGTTTCCAGAGACGCCAAAGCAATAGTCGCCACCAGAAATGCAGTTTGTCGTTCATGGAAGTAGTCCGGCACGATAATTTGGCTTACGCACGTAGAATCTGCTACCGGCCATATTAAATATCACGTCACAACCGCGGCGCAAATGAAAGGTATTCCACATGAAAAAACAAAGCTCTCAGGGCTGCACAAAGAACTAAAACCATTAGCTCCAGATAGCGAAACCGGTCTACCGTCCGTATGTGGAAACTGCGTTAACAAAGCTCTGTCGAAAACACAAATAATTTCGAAGCCAAACATTCTGCCATGCCTAATCCTTCATTTTAGACCGAAAGTATGAAACTGACAGTGACACCTCTGGCCACTTCTCTATGTATAGCATTTTCTATGAGAACGACATTACGACTTCCGCAGATGTAGACTGAGCAGAGATGACCAGCTGAACTTCTCCCATTGTCACAATATCTGTAAAGACGGACAGATACCAATTCATGCCAAGGGTCGTGCTGTCATTTAACTGCTTCC